GAGACTCTGTCTGAAAAAAAAAAAAAAAAAAAAAAAAGTGGTTAATTGTACATTATATGTATTTTGCCACAATAAGAAGTTTTTAATTTAAAAAAATGAATAAGTACTTGGTGTTCTCCCTTTCCATTAAATTATGGCAAGGTTAAAATAGTGTGATTTCCAAAATTCCCTGGTATCTTCAAAATATCATGCCATCCTGTTCCATATGTCAGGCTTGGGAAACAATACCTCAAAATATGGCCCTTTGACATACGGAACAAAAGACACCTCAGGGGCTCTTCGACCTTCCTCCCACTCCTGTTCCTCTATCCTCTGTCCCTACCAAAGTACAGAATGAGGCTGTTCTGTGAAGCTCCCATATCAACCTGGAAACAGTACCTGCCAAAGAGAAATAAAATTGCTTTTGATCCTTTTCCTGAGATTTTATTAACCAGAGTCACAGCCAGGCACGGTGTCTCACACCTGTAATCCCAGCACTTTGGGAAGCAGAGGCGGGCAGATCACAAGGTCAGGAGTTGACCAGTCTGACCAATATGGTGAAACCCCATCTCTTCTAAAAATACAAAAATTAGCCAGGTGTGGTGGCACCTGTCTGTTTCCCCATCTACTCAGGAAACTGAGGCAAGAGAATTACTTGAACCTGGGAGGCGGAGGTTGTAGTGAGCCGAGATTGTGCCACTGTGTTCCAGCCTGGGCAACAGAGTGAGACTCTGTCTCAAAACAACAGCAACAACAATAACAACAACAAAAACCTCCTATCACAGAGGAAGAGACCAAAAATTAAACACCACACCTAGAGCCCAGGCAAAGATTGTTACAAACCATTGTTTGTTCTCAGGCCACATTCAATTCTCAAAAACAATTACTTACCATTGAGAGTCTGCTTCTCTTATTTTTTGTTTATGTTTTTTTTTTTTTAATCAGTCCACCTTTATTGGAGGAAACTGCACTGTAACTGTTTTAAATAACACATGCCCTGCCCCATCCCAGTGCCCCGTGGGCTCAGACGATCATCTCCAGCTGCTGAGCGTACTCGATGACCTATTTGGCCCGGGCAACAGAACAAGACTCCATCTCAAAACAAAACAAAACGAAACAAAAAAGCCTTAGTTCCAGCAAGAGGATGCTGGAAATAATCCCACCCAGATTTCCATGTACTGCTGCTGGTCCCCAAGGGACTGGGGACTATTACATGCAAGCCAGTCAAGTAGAACCATGATGTTCCCATCCTTAAATCCCATCTCCCGCTCTGGGGTGTTGAGCGCTCCCTGGAGTTGCCTGTACTCTTCCTCACTTCTCTCTTTGTAATCTTTTCCACCAGTCTCTCCTTTCCTGTTTCCTCTCACTTCTAGTCTTCCTTAATTGCCATCGTCTCTATTCATCATCTTGGTCAAGAATAAGCCTTTTAAAGGCTTCCTGCCCGAGCTGCACCCGACCCTTCAGCCAGCATTCATAGTGCCCTGCCATCCTGCAGTTACCTTGGTGTGACCTAGCCAGCCGCTTTCTCTCCTCAGGTGTCACCCAACACGGGGTCATCTGGAAGTGTGTTATAGAAGATAACAGAGTGTAGGAATAGTCCCAAGAAGCGCATTTTAAAACTATTGTTGTATAATATCTTTATGATCTACTCTGCCGCATTCTCTTAAAAATACCTTTTATACCTGTTTTCTTGCCATTTCGATTATGCCTGTTAAAGTGTGTCAAAGACAGTGAGTTAACAACTGAGTGGTGTAGCATGGCTGTCCTTTTGCAAAATTGAAGATTTTTTTTCCTTCTTTTTAGAGACAGGGTCTTGCTCAGTTGACCCGGCTGGAGTGCAGTGGCACGGGCATACTTCTCTGCTAAGCTATCAGGAGGAGTGCTTGAGGCTTAGAGATCCTCCCCCATGGCTGGGACTACAGGCGTGCACCACAACGCCCAGCTAATTTTTATTTTTTAGATTTTTGGTAGAGATGAAGTCTCGTTTTCTTACCTAGGCTTGTCTTGAACGACTGGTTCAAGCGATCTACCTGCCTCAGCCTCCCAAAGTGCTGGGATTTACGGGTGTGAGCCACTGTGCCTGAAAATTGAAGACTGAAGCAGCCTTCTCCCAAGTCCGTTTCACCTCCTTGTTAAAAGATGTTTTTGTGTTTGGTCATCTTAGCAGCATGCAAACCAATTTTCTTTTCTTTTTTCTTTTCTTTCTTTTTTTTTTTTTTTTTTTTTTTTTTTGAGACAGTCTCACTCTGTTGCCAGGCTGGAGCACAGTGGCACAATCTCAGCTCACTGCAAACTCTTCCTCTCAGGTTCAAGCAATTCTCCTGCCTCAGCCTACTGAGTAGCTGAGATTACAGGCATTCACCACCAGGCCCAGCTAATTTTGTATTTTTAGTAGAGACAGGGTTTCACCATGTTGGCCAGTATGGTCTCTTGACCTCATGACCTGCCCGCCTAGGGCTCCCAAAGTGCTGGGATTACAGCTGTGAGCCACAATACCCAACCTTCAAACCAGTTTTCTTATTTTTGTATCAGTCAAACTATAATAGAGAGAGGGCTGTTGTGCACTTAGCTACTTATTCTGGAAGCTGATGGAAATCCTCTTGAATTCGGGACTTCACATTAGAGAAACTGTCATCTTCTAGAGATGTATGACTTTATCAATAAAACAATTAAAATCAGTTTGTACTTTTGCAATCATAACCACATGAGGCATTGCAGCCTTCCCTCTTTCTAAAAATGATGAAGCCTTCTGGAGTAATTTTTTTTTTTTTTGAGACAGAGTGTCACTCTTTTGCCTAGGCTGGAGTGCAATGGCATGATCACGGCTCCCTGCAGCCTCAATCTCCCGAGCACAAGAGATCCTCCACCTTCCACCCCCCCACCCAAGTAGCTGGTACTACAGGTGCACACCACCACACCCAGCTACTTTTTGTATTTTTTGTTGAGATAGGGCTTTCTACAGAATCGCAGGCCAGGCTGGTCTCTAACTCGTGAGCTCAGGAGATCCACCCGCCTTGGTTTCCCACAGTGCTGGGATTACAGGCGTGAGCCACCATGCCTGGCCAGTCTTTTTTCTTCTTCTTTTTTAAACACTCAGAGAGGTTCTGTTAGCTGGGACTCAATCAGGACAAAGAGTAACCACACTAGGTATTTCACTCAGAGGAGAATGAATGCTAACATCTTGTTAGAATCCTGTTAGAAGGGCCCGGTGCAGTGGCTTACGCCTGTAATCCCATCACTTGGGGAGGCCAAGGCGGGTGAATCGCCTGAGATCGGGAGTTTGAGACCAGCCTGGCCAACATGGCAAAACCTCGTCTCTACTAAAAATACAAAAATTAGCCAGGTGTGGTGGCACATGCCTGTAGTCCCAGCTGCTCAGGAAGCTGAGGCAGGAGAATCACTTGAACCCAGGAGGCAGAGGTTGCAGTGAGCCAATACTGTGCCACGGCACACCAGTCTGGGCGACAGAGCAGGACTTTATCTCCACACACACACACAAATACTGTTAAAAGGATGGAGAGACTGAAAAGGGAAAGGTGTGGCAATCTAGAAATTAGCCACTGAGTGAAGCAGCTGCCACCCTTAAGCCAAGGAGAACAAAGGTGCAAAAATGCTGCTGCATGCCACAGTCCTCCTGGGCTGACTGTGCTCAGCCGCTTCTGGAAATGCCTAGGACCCGGCCCCTGGGCTGGAGCAGAAGCCGGTCTGCCTTGCTGGTTCTGGAACTGCCAAAGAAGGGCTGCCACCACCATGGGAAACACTCAGGTTACAATACAGACACTTGCAGAGACACTGCCAGAAGCAGATGGGGAAAGAGAGAGGATGAAGAACAGCTATCATCCCTCTTCTTGCTTTCTGAACTCCTGACAGTGCCCGATTTTGGCAGAACATAACAGGAAGCCAGCTGGCAGAGGAGCCTGGGTAGAGTAGTTCACAGACTCCAAGCCCCAGCATGACTGAGCAGAGACGGGCAGGTGTGGAGCTGGGAGACACTAGGTAACACCTGGCATCTCGGCTGCTTACATGGGCACCACTGAGATGCGCTACAGATATTTCACTGACAACCATCTGAGATGTTTTTCCAACCTTTGATGTCTCTTTCAGCATTATTAGGTTCTTCGCGGGCCTGTTGAACTGAAAAAGGTTTTTGTGTATTCTAAAGGACTGTTTGGTTAGAGCCATTCTTGAGTCATGCCAAGCAGTGTGAATTTCTGCAAACCCCAAAATGCAGACATTGTTTTAATAGAAGAAACAGTATTATCACACTGAGCTACTGGAAGGAACGATGCTATTTCTACTACTTGACAAATGGACCTACCACCTACGTATTAAGTAATTTTAGATGTGAACAAATGTAGAACAACTGAACTTAATGTCTTCTAGTTAAGTTGGCTTACATCCCTCAGCTACTTCCTTTCTTTTTCTCTGTAAAAGAAAGAACTGAGAGGTGACCCATGAGAAAAGCAACGAATAGGCTGGGCGGCATGGCTCATGCCAGCACTTGGGGAGGCCGAGGTGGTCAGATCACCTGAGGTCCAGAGTTTGAGACCAGCCTGATCAATGTGGTGAAACCCAATTGCAAGATTGTCAATCAATGCCGAAATTACTAGGGGAAAAAATACGGGAAGCAAGATAATCACAGTCTGGAAGTATCACCACACAGATTATTGATTAATTATTAAGGTGGAAATATACTTGAAAAAAACTGCTCAATTTAGCATGACCAGTTGTATGACAATCTGAATTATGAAGCTAAAAGTTTTTTTTTTTAGAGAGGGTGTCACTCTGTCACCTGGGCTAGAGTGCAGTGGCATAATCATGGCTCACTAAAGTCTCCATCTCCCAGGCTCAAAAGATCCTCCTGCCTCAGCCTCTGAAGTAGCTGAGACTACAGACACGCACCACCATGCCCAGCTGATTTTATATATATTATATATTTTATAATGCAATCTTTATTTAAAAATCTAATCTGCCAGCTTAGCATTTTCTACCAGCTCGGGGAGCTGAAACTTTGAGAGGCTTCACAATCTTTTGCTTAGGTGCTGCCTTGTAGGTGGCTTAGCAGCAGCCACTGGAATCTTTTTAGATGCTCTCTCAGCCTTTTTTGCTTCCTTAGCAGCCCTGATAGCTTGTTCTTGCTGAGCCTTTCTAAATTCCGGTTTCTGATTCCTCTTGGCCATTATAACAGCAAGAGATGCACCAGTAATGGCCGTCTGGAATTTGACTGCTCGGCGTGTTCTTTTCTTTTGAATGTCTTTCGACTGTCTGTTTCTGTGCTTGCTTCTGTAGAAGACAGTCCAGTTTATGTGCCAAGGATTCCTCTTAGAAAGGAACACTGACTCGCATTTTGCATTAAGAAACTGGAAAACCTTCCTGTCAGTCCTGGCGTGGCGCCTCCCGTGTCCAGGGTGGATCTTGTACTCACTGAAACTGCACAGCTCAACCTTCATGGCAGCAGCTCCATGGGAGGAGAAAAGATGGCAAAGAGAGAGCTGCTTCATATTTTTTGTAGAGATGGGGTCTTACCATGTTGCCCAGGCTGGTCTTGAAATCCTGGGCTCAAGTGATTCCTCCCAAGTTGGCCTCCCAAAGTGCTGAGATTACAGGGCAAAGTATACTGCTCCAAGTTTGATGCAGGGGAATTAACACACCACAACCTACTATATTTATACCAAAAATGTTAACTTGAATGAATAAGACACAATAAGAGTAGTTCAGATTGATGGATGATCTGTGAGACAAGGAAAATGTCAGTGTCATGAAGGAAAGAAAAAGTATAGAGGAATTGTAGATTAAAGGAAACTAAAGAGACATGACAAGTAAATACAGTTTTTGGTTTTGACTGGATTCCAGATTTTAAAAACACACAACTAGAAGGACAATATTGAATAAATGAGGGACATTTGAATATGGACTGTGTGTTAGATAATGGTGTATCAGTGTTAAAATTCTTCAGATTAACAATAATATGATTTTGTGGCCAGGCACAGTGGCTCACACCTGTAATCCCAGCACTTTGGGAGGCCAAGACGGGTGGATCATGAGGTCAAAAGATCGAGACCATCCTGGACAACATGGTGAAACCCCATCTCCACTAAAAATACAAAAATTAGCTGGGTGTGGTGGTGCACACCTGTCGTCCCAGCTGCTCTGGAGGCTGAGGCAGGAGAATTGCTTGAACCAGGGAGGCCGAGGTTGCAGTGAGCCAAGATTGTGCCACTGCACTCCAGCCTAGGAGAGAGCGAGACCCCATCTTAAAAAAGAAAAAAAAGATGATTTTGTTGGAGAATATCCTTGTTCTTGAGAAATGCATGTTTAAGTTTTTATAAATGAAGTATTAGGTAGGTGCAAAAGTAAGGTGTGGTTTTTGCCATTACTTTTAAGTGCCAAAAACCGCAGTTACTTTGCACCAACTAATCATATGTTTGCAGCATACTTTCCATAGTTTCAGCAAAACACACACACATTAATATACAGAGAAAATAAATACATTATGTTATTATTAAATATAACCACATTAAAAACATTCATTCACCATTGGACGTTGATCTATTTAGGTGTTCATTATGTTATCTTTTCTGCTTTTCTGTCAGTTTGAAATCTTTCAAGATAAAGAGTTGGAGAGTAAAAAGGGTAGAAAGTATAGGCAGTGAAGTTGCCCATGGGTTAGTGCCTTATTTCACATTTTAATGTGTTTAATATGTCTAAGGAGTGAAGGAATACCTGATGAAATTTCCTTCTACGTCTGCCACTCATCAGCTTTTCTATATCTCGTCTAGAACAATAGGAAGATTTTAAAAGAGAAAAACATTTTAGGCTGGGCATGGTGGCTCACACCTGTAATCCTAGCACTTTGGGAGGCTGAGGTGGGTGGATCACCTGAGGTCAGGCATTCAAGACCAGCCTGGCCAACCTGATGAAGCCCCGTCTCTACTAAAAATACCAAAATTAGCCAGGCATGGTGGCAGGCTTCTGTAATCCCAGCTACTCGGGAGTCTGAGCCAGAAGAATTGCTCGAACCTGGGAGATAGAGGTTACAGTGAGCCGAGATCACGCCACTGTACTCCAGTCTGGGCAATGGAGTGAGACTCTGTCTCAAAAAAAATAAATAAATAAAATAAAATAAAATTTAAAAAACACTTTAGTGTGAGCAAGATGTTGCTTTAGGCAAATATGATAGATGCTAACTTCTAGGGTCAATTATAAGAGCCCAGATACTCAGGAAAGCATTACCAACTGGTCTCATTATAATAGTTCCCCCTTATCCATGGTCCCGCTTTCCATAGTTTCAGTTACCTGTGGTCTACCACAGTCAGTCCAAAAATATTACATGGAAAATTCCAGAAATAAACAATTCATAAGTTTTAAATTGCATGCTGTTCTGAGAAGTGTGATGAAATCTCACGCCATCCCACTCCATCCCACCCTGGACATGATTCATCCCCTTGTCCAGCATACCCATGCTGTATACACAGCCCCATTATTAGTCATCACCATGATCTGCCCCTCACATCCAGCTATGGCCATCATCATGGCTCGGTGATTCAGGATCACTCCAAGCAGATGATCTTGCCTCTGACATATCGCCAGAAGGTCAACAGTCGCCTAACGCAATGTCACACTGCCCACATCATTCACCTCACTTCATCTCATCCCATAGGCATCTTACCCTCTCACATTATCACAAGAAGAAGGGTGAGTACAGTACAGTCAGATCTTTTGAGAGAGAGACCACATTCACATAACTTTTATTACAGTATATTGTTATAACTGTTCTATTTTATTATGTTATGATTGTTAATCTCTCACTGTACCTAACTTAGAAATTAACTTTATCAGCCCGGTGTGGTGGCTCACACCTGTAATCCTAGCACTTTGGGAGGCCAAGGTGGGAAAATTGCCTGAGGTCAGGAGTTTGAGACCAGCCTGGCCAACATGGTGAAACGCCATCTCTAATAAAAATACAAAAAATTAGCCTGGCGTGGTGGTGGGCACTTGTAATTTCAGCTACTCAGGAGCTGAGGCAGGAAAATCTTTTAAATCTAGGAGGCAGAGGTTGCAGTAAGCTGAGATCACCCCACTGCACTCTAGCCTGGATGACAAGAACAAAACACCATCTTAAAAAAAAAAAAAAAAGAAAGAAAGAAAGAAAGAAATGTATTGGCTGGGCGTGGTGTCTTGCCTTACATCTGGAATTTCAGCACTTTGGGAGGCCGAGACAGGCAGATCACCCAAAGTCAGGAGTTCAAGACCAGCCTGGACAACATGGTGAGAACCCATCCCTACTAAAAACACAAAAATTAGCCAGGAATGGTAGTGGACACTTGTAATCCCAGCCACTCAGGAGGCTGAGGCAGGAGAATCACTTGAACCTGGGTACAGAGGTTATAGTGAGCTGAGATCGCAATAAGAACAAAACTTAGTCTCAAAAAATTAACTTTATCATAGGTATGTATGTATAGGAGAAAACTTAGTATTTGCAGAGCCAGTCCTAACCCTGGTTTCAGGCATCCACTGGGGATCTTGGGACATGTCCTCCACGGATAAGGGAGGACCAGCATATAAGCTTTTCTCTAAAGACCTTGGCCACATCATTCAAGGTAAGAAGCGAAACCAAAGCATTTCTGACCCATTTATTAAGCTTGCGTAAGCTCCCTCAGCTGGAAAACTTTGTGAACTTGAGTGCTTACGGTTTAGATTTACATCCTGAGAGTTGTCACAATGTGGTGAAATTGTTTGGATGTTTATCTTCTCGCTAGACCTTGAGATTCTGGAGTACGGGGACTCTATCTTGTAATTCTGATACCCAGCAACTAGCAAATGACTGCCTTTCCATTGGATTTATTTGAAAGGCAATTGAAATGATATGGGTGAGGATTTTCTGAGCCTTTAAATTTTTTTAAAGTACTTCTCAGTCTGCAAAGATGAAATTTCAATAGGGATAGAAAGTTTGTTAGATTATGAATGGTTTGGATTGGTTATACTTGGATTGGTTCCCATATTCTACAAGGTTCATATGCCTAGGACCATTAAAAAGAAGTCCTGGCCGGATGCAGTGGCTCACACCTGTAATCCCAGCACTTTGGGAGGCTGAGGCAGGCGGATCACCTCAAATCAGGAGTTTGAGACCAGCCTGGCTAACATGGTGAAACCACATTTTTAGTAAAAATACAAAAGATTAGCGGGGCATGGTGGTGCATACCCATAATCCCAGCTACTCGGGAGACTGAGGAAGGAGAATCACTTGAATCCAGGAAGCAGAGGTTGCAGTGAGCTGAGATTGCACCATTACACTCCAGCTTGGGCACCAAGAGTAAAACTCCGTCTAAAAGAAAAGAAAAGAAAAGAAAGGCATACTACCTGTCACACAGGATATATTCCTCCGGTCTAGTAGCTTTGCAGTTACATACGATCCAGCCACCATTATTTATTTCACAAAAGCCTCCACACACACCATGCAATGGAATATTACTCAACCCCAAAAAGGAATGAAGTAGTGATACATGCTAAAGTACAATCTTTGGGAAGCCAAGGCAGGTAGATCACATGGTCAGGAGTTCAAGACCTGCCTGACCAACATGGTGAAACCCCATCTCTACTAAAAATACAAAAAACATTAGCCAAGTGTGGCTCACCTATAATGTCAGCGACTCAGGAGGCTGAGGCGAGAGAATCGATTGAACCCAGGAGGCGGTAGTTGCAGTGAGCCAAGATCACGCCACTGAACTTCAGCCTGGGTGACAAAGCGAGACTCTGTGACCAAAAAAAAAAAAAAAAAAAAAAAAAAAAAAAAAAAAAAAAGTAAAGTATAAATGAACCTTGAAACATTATGCCAAGTGAAAGAAGCCAGATACAAAAAGCTATATATTGCATTATTTAATTTATATGAAATGTCCAGAGTAGGCAAATCTGTAGAGACAGAAAGCTGATTCGTGATTGCCAGGAGCTGGGGAGTTAGGAGTATAACGGGTATGAGGTTTCCTTCTGGGGTGATGAAAAGTTCTGGGATAAGTAGTAGTGATAGTTGCACAACATTGTAAGTGTATTTGGCCAGTGAATTTATACTTTTCAAATTGTTAAGATGGTAATTTTTGTTATGTATTTTGCAGTTTATTTTTACAAAGGAGGAAAGTTTCCATGTATAACTACTCCATTATAAACAAGTACTACTTTTCATAAAGAGCCATTTCTCTAGGAGCTTTATGGTATGGAGCAGCCCAGGCAATTTGGGAAGGCCAAGGGCTTCCAGGCTTAAAAGATTCAAAACAGTTTTATGTGGAATGGTAATGGGTTATTAAAGTAAACTAGGAGATGTTGGGGGTACATCTGACTTCTGAAGGTGCTGACAAGGAAAGGCATTTCTTTTTTGTTTGTTTGTTTGTTTGTTTTGAGACGGAGTTTCTCTCTTGTTGCCCAGGCTGGAGTGCAATTGTGTGATCTTGGCTCACCA